CTTGGAAGATTAGCAGGGGTAGGTAATAGTTTGAAATATTTAAAGGGATTATAGGAGATACAGCACTGTAGAGTGACTGTAGCCTCTTGGTGAGGGAATTGCAGTGGCTGTGGAGGAAGTGGTGCTCTGATAACACCTCAGACCCAGGATGGATGGAGCACTCAGCTCTGTGCTGCACCAGCAGTAGCAGAGCTGACATCCTGCCTGGCTGCATCCTGCTCTTGAAACAGGAATTAATCTTCCTAAAGAAAGGAAATGCAGCCCCTTGGGATGTGGTGTTTGGGCCTTGCCCTGCCATGAATGCAGAGGCTGCAGGTCTGTGGAGTAATTGAACATTAATTAAGCACAGGGAATATTAATGGTTTCCCAGAAGCTGCTCTGTAGCAGGTGGAGGAACAGACTGTCACAGTGGACAAGAGAGGTTTGGGGTGCTGGGAGAGCCTGAGTGGGTCTCACTGGGATGGAGATGATCCAGAAACAGCCAGGAAGGTGAGATGTTTGTAGGTAGGTGAGGGGGTGAGTGGTGAGCTGGGTGGGAGAGGTGGAATTGTTCTGGGGGAACTGCTCTCCAACCCCATTTGAGAAACAGAAACTCTTTGTCCTGATTTGCCCTGCACAAAAATGTCCATCTGCAAAGGGGAGTGGGTGGCAGGAGGAGGAGGAGGAATGGTCATTTCCCTTGGAAAGTGCCTCACCTGAACATCCTCCCCTGGGCCAGGGTGATGCAGTGACATCTGCAGTGGTGTCTGTGGGAGCTGGAGGGGTTTGGGGCTTTTGGAGAACAGCACTGATGCACCTGCAGCCCCAAGTAGCTTTTGAAATGGAGATTTACTCAGGTTTTTAGACCTGTAAGGTCATATTTTGTTCTTCTGGCCTGAAAACTCTTGCATAAGCTCAGGAGAGTGGGGTTTTGTGTGCTTTGGGGATATTTTTGATGGTGAACTCAGTCACCTCCCTGACCTGGGCAGACCCCACAACTCCAGACTCACTCCATGAGCCTCTGTAGTGCCTCTTTAGGTGCTCTATGACCTTCCTGAGTCACCTCCCAGCCTGGGCAGGGAGCAGGGGGTGGGAAGCTGTGTTCCCTGGCAGTTTGGGAAGCTCTGAGCAGACCTGTCCTGGCAGCCAAGTGTCCAACCCACAGCTCTGCTGCTCGTTGCTGTGATTAACTGTGATTAACTGAGCTGGCTGCACTCAGTGCTACTGCTGTTCCTAATCATGAGCAAGGATTAATTCCCCTTCCTCACCAACTGAACCAAGCTCAGCTCCATCCCCAGCATGAGGGGTCCAAAAGCTGCGCTTGCTTTACTACAGGCAATTAACGATCCTCGCCTCATTTAGGAACCTGCTGGTCTTGTTTGATCTGTCTGGGCTCTGACTCGCTGCCTTCTTGCAGATTTTTCTTCAAGCCTTAAATTGAAGCTGCCTGGTCCTGTGCCAGCAGGAGGGGTGTTTGCAGGGCTGGGTGCTGAAGAGGCTGTAAAATCCAGGATGTGCCTTAGGGTGAGCACAGCAGATGCTTACAACCAGGAAGGCTGTCTAGCCCTGGGTGATGGTGAAAATGAGAGAATTCGACTTGTGCAGATGTCTGGGAAGTTCTGGGCTCTTCTGGCACTGGGATTGAGAAAGGCTGGTGTTCCCATGGGGAAGGGTCCAGAAGGCTCTGGGAGGAGCAGTGCCCAGGCTGTCCCTGGCTCAGGAGTGTGGGGCAGTGCTGGGGGCTGCACCCTCAGAGGAGGGAAACTCTGAGTTCTCCAGGTCACTCCAGTTCCTGCCTACCCCACTGCCAATTCCCAGAGCTTCCCTTGAATTGTTAAGGTTGGAAAAGTCCCCAAGATCATCAAGTCCAACCGTTCCTCCAGTGCCACCATGGTCACCACTAACCCATGTCCCCACGTGCCACATCCACACTTCAGGGATGGTGACTCCACCAGTGCCAGTGCTTGACCTCTCTTGCAGTGAAGGTTGTCCTAATATCCACCTAAACTTCTCTGGCACAGCTTGAGGCTGTTCCCTCATGTCCTGTCACTTCTTACCTGGGAGAAGAGACTCAGCCTCACCTTGAATTTCCTACAAAGTGCAGCTGAACAGGAGGGATTTGGGATTGCTGAGTCACAGCCCAGATTCTGCACCGAGGTACCCACCCTATACCTGCCCTTTGCCTCCATCTCCTCCAGACAATTGCTTGGAGTAATTGTTTCCCTTCAATCTCTGGCATTCTGCTCCTACCCCAAGGGCTGATTCCTGCTTGTTCCTCACTGTCCCTGCCCAAGCCATCCCTGTCGTTTCCCAGATCCCTTGGCTTCCTTCTTGTCTCTTGGGCTGCACTGAGCTGTGCTGCTCCTTCCCGTGCCCTGCTGCTGCGTGGGAGTGAGAATAAAAGGGCTTGGAAACCTGAAGGATGAATTTTTCCTGCGATTTTCAGTTCTCCCCAGCTGCCCTGAATTTGGGGAGAGCTGCTCTGCTGCCCTGCACACTGAGGGCTGCGGGTCGATCAGGTCAGGTCTGCTGTCGATGGAGGGATGTGATTTGTATTGACTTCCCCCTCACAAGGATGGACAAGTCCCTTTTAGAGGAAAACATTGCCTTTTTGTGAGAGGATATCTGGTGTATGTAATATAAAACTCTGTGGAAATTTCAGTTCTGAGCTTGGATCCCAAATTGATGTTCCTTGGACGTTGCCATGACTGCGACAGAGTGACTCATCCTGTTCTGGGGAGCAGCTTTGCTTGTTGTACAAAGTCACCAGGGAAATAATTTTCCCTATCTATACATACCAAGGCTGTAAGGTTTGCTCCAGCAAACAAGACAAATAATATTTCCCAGTAATAGGAGCAGCCAACTGGAAAATGAGACCAATAGGTTCTATTCTTAGTTCCATCATTAACCTTGGACATATTTTGTAACTTAGCTGGAGCTCTCCTTAGCTGCTTGTAAAGCAGAAAAAGTTATAAATATAGGAGATGGTTTTAGTAAGTAATTAAAATTCTGATGCTTAAGTGCTTCAGAAGTGTAAGATGTTCACGGCACCTCCAAAACTGCTGAAGGAAAGTCCTGCTGGTGTGCTGCAGGTTTAGGTGAAGCCTGTGAGCTGGGTATAGCAGATGTGCTCTGGGGACTGATTATCTCCTTTAGCAAGGGCCATCAGTCTCTATTTTTGTGAAGAATTCCCTGTTTCCCTGCATTCTCCCCATGGCTGGGTTAAGTTTTCTATAGCCACGTGTGGCACCTTTGGGGAATCCCAGAGCCTTGGAACTTGGTGGTGTTGAGTTCTGTGGTTGGGTGACCATCAGATTCTCTTGTGTTTTGGACAAAGGGAAGCATTTTGGATCCTGTCTGAGATTCCAGGACAAGGCAGTATGCTGGAGCTTTCCTGCTGTCCTCCCCACATGGGTGGCAGTGGGCACGGGCACTGTGCCTGCTCCTGGGGCAAGGAAGAGGCACTTCCAAGGGTTTGTCCTGGTCACTGAGGAGATGTTGATGTGGCATCTTCACCAACTTGCAGTCATGGCTATGGGGCAGAACTGGCACAGGGTGCCCAGAGCAGCTGGGGCTGCCCCTGGATCCCTGGCAGTGCCCAAGGCCAGGCTGGACAGGGCTGGGAGCAGCCTGGGACAGTGGGAGGTGTCACTGCTCCCTGCAGAGGTTGAAGTGGGTGGGCTTCAAGGTCTTTTCCACCCCAAGCCATGCCATGAAATCCCTGAAATAACCTTGGTAACTCTTTTTCTGTGCTCCACCACAAGTCACCCTTGTGCTGGAAGCCTCTGTTTGCTCTTCCCCTTTTTCCCATAGAGGACTTAAAACACACCAGTGCTTTATCCACAGCATTTCACAGTGCAGGGGAATTTGCTGCATTAGATTTAGTTTGTAAGGCAGGATGTGTAAATGACTCAGGTGGGCATCCTGACCTGTCTTGATGCCTGCATGGCCCTTGATGTGAAAGCTGCATCCCAAAGTGCCTGTTTCTGTGGGAGCAGGGTGTGTTTATCCAGGATCCCAGGTAACCTGGCTGCTGCTTGTTTTGCTTGTTGACCTTGGAGAACTTCTGTTGTGGCAGTTGTGTTGGGGTTTTTTCATGTCCTCCTGAGCTATTTTGACCTAGTGTTATTTGTCTGGGGGGATGTTTAATGATTGCTCTATTAATCCTTAATGCATTTAAATAACTCTTTTCCTTATTTGGTAAAACATCTGTGTAGAGCTTTCAGAATAAATGCTGCATTTTCTGTGTCTGTCACTTCTTGATATTGCAAGGATTAGTCTTCTGCTATCCCACTTGTCAGGAATTATTGATTGGTCATGTTGGAGAGAGGCTTGTCAGTTTGGAGATACATTTGGCTATTGGAATATTAGTTTATATTTATGTGAGTCCTGCTGGAAAAACAGCTGGGAGCACATCTGTGTCTTCAAACATGAATTACCAGGCAAACATGATTTGAGGGGGAAGGCAATTTCTTAGGTAGTTTGTTTTGATTCTGCAGGTGTTTGGGGGGTGTATTTATTCCCCTTTTTCCCCCCAAATATTTCAAATTGGCTGTTGTAAACCATTCACCAGGATTGGGGAAGGGTCTGTTTGAACACAGGCTTGGATCTTTTTGAGTCTTTAGCACCTACAAAAGGTGCAGCACCCACTGAGCACTGAGTGTACTTCGAGGGGCAGGTGCACTGCAGAGAGAAATGAGGAGAGCTGGAAATGCAATTTGACATGTTTGCCCAAATAATCTTTTTTTTTTTTTCCCCAAAGCAAGTTAAAACCTGCCTGTTCTGGGGTTGCTTTGTTTTCTTGTTTTTCCAAATTAAAGTAAAACAAGGTAGGAGAAACCAAGACAAATGACCAATCACCACACATTACAGCCAGGAAAGAAGCTGCAGCTGCAAACCCTTGACTCTGTGTGCCTCAACTTGAGGGAACATCTTAAAAAAGTTTGGAAATCTCCATGTGGATGCTCTACTTTCAGTACATTCTGCCTGAATATTTCTTATTTTTCCCCTTTCTCTCCCAGGTTGTGACCAGACTTATTCACTTGCTGGGCGAGAAGATCCTTGGCAGTCTGCAGCAGGGAGGTGAGACTCATTCCTGGACTATTCCCATTGATGCTGGGACTTCCTTGGAGCCAGACTTGAATCCTTAAAATTGGAAACAGGCAGTGCAGGCTTGGAAAGGAAATGCATTGCAAAATTTCAGCCTGGAGAGGAGAAGTCTCCAGGGAGAACTTAGAGCCCCTTCCAGGGCCTGAAGGGGCTCCAGGAGAGCTGGAGAGGGACTGGGGACAAGGGATGGAGGGACAGGACACAGGGAATGGCTCCCAGTGCCAGAGGGCAGGGCTGGATGGGATATTGGGAATTGGGAATTGTTCCCTGTGAGGGTGGGCAGGCCCTGGCACAGGGTGCCCAGAGCAGCTGGGGCTGCCCCTGGATCCCTGGCAGTGCCCAAGGCCAGGCTGGACAGAGCTGGGAGCACCTGGGATAGTGGGAGGTGTCCCTGCCATGGCAGGGGTGGCACTGGATGGGATTTAAGGTCCCTTCCAACCCAAACCAGTCTGGGATTCTGTGGTCTGTTACAGCTGCAGGTGCACGTGGATGGTGATTTCATTGTATCTGTGTACACATGATGGTTTTGGCAGAGCATGGCTAACTGGGTGTAGGAATGAAATAATTTGCAATTGAGATCCAGAAGTGTTGCTGCCTGTGTGCAGTGAAATTTCCCTGGAATTTCTTGCAAGAGCAATGTGAAGGGAGCATTGGAAATAGCAGCTGTAATGGGCTGGAATCAGAGCACCGTGCTGAGCAGCAGCAGCACAGACTGAGTTCAAGTGTCTGGATTTGCAGTATTTTAATGAATTGTCTGGGAGGAAATGGCCTGCCATGGGTTGCTTCTGCAGCTTTGTGTTTGTGGCAGCACCAACACAAAGTCTCTTTATTGACTGAAGGGAGTAGGAGGGAATTCTCCCAATTTTCTTGAGCAGCATTTGAAAGCAAACAGATGCCTGTGAACTGCTGGGGGTGTTGTGGGGCTCTTTGATGCTGAGGATTGTTTGGGTTTTGTTTGGTTGGGGGGGGTTTAATTCCTTCAGTTGTTGGTTTTGCCAAATTCTAAGGAGACTGGAAATGAAGGTCACCCACTTTCCTCTTTCAGAGCAGTCTGGGGAAGGGAATCTGCTCTCTCTTCACCTGCTCAGCTTTCCCGGCACAGCCATTTGTGCACAAATGCCTGGTGATAATTGTACTTAAACTTCTGTGCCTGCTGAAATGCCTCTGTGTCCCAGGGCAGAGCCTGCACTGCCTGGGAAACAGGGCAAAATGGGGGAAACAGAAAGTGGGAGGAAAATTAGTGAGAAAAACAGGAGTTCAATCAGAGAATCACCATTGAAGTTCTGAGCAGGGAAGGGCCTGTGAAGATGAAGGGGTTGAGCTGTGATGTGAAGCCTGTTTAAACCTACAGATATCTTCTTGAAGATCACCAGAAGGAGGGGGAAAACTATTTAATGTTCTGTGCAGAGCTGTTTTAGAAGATTTGAAATTAATAACTCAATTGCTGAATATATATTTTTTTAAAGTTTATCTGATATTTCTTTTTGCCCTGCAGTGGTCTGTCACTCTGGCATTGAGCCTTTGAACCTTTGAATGGGTTTGCACAGGGGATATCAAGTATTTCCACATGCTCAGCTCAAGAATTCACCTTGATGGTACACATTAGGCCTTTGCTGGGTGAAATGAGATAAGCAGGATGTGAAATCCCAACTTAAATTCAAATTTTTTTTGTGTGTTCTCAGAGCTGAGTTGACAGGCATTAGCAGCAGAATGAGATTTTCTGAGAAGGCTCAGCTAAAAAGAAAAAAGAGTATCATCAGAACAAGAACAGTTTGTAGAACATGGACCTTTACCAGCTCTAAGCTGTCTGGGAAGATCTTGATCTTCCTTACATGCACTGCAGATTTCTCTCAAAAACTGCTTTTCCTCTGCCCTTACTCACCAAATTATATCAAAGATAGTTCCCAGGTACTTTGCAGCTACTTCAGAGGTTCCATATTTTAATACTCCTAAGCCCTTATCTGTAAAGCTCTGCATCTTGCAGAGAAGGGAGAACAGGTAGAGATGCACATTTTCTATAGGAGCTCTGTTGAAAACAGGTATTTCCTTCCTTGCTTAGGAATACCATAAGAAAAGGATTGTTAAGTTTTGGAAAATTTTGGAATATTTTAGTACTGCACTACAGGTTTGGAGGTTTTGTTAGTTAAGCTAATTCCTCTTATGGAATCAGTTCCAAAGTTGTGGTAAAGGGATTTTAAGTGCTTTTTTTAATCTTTGTCTTCCTGGGTCAGGTAGATCCATGTTTCATTTAACATATTCCTGGCATATTTTTAACATTGCCTGACTTCAACCCACACATGCTGTACCAGCAACTGAAAATGATGGAAACTGATCTTCATCCTCTTAAAATGAAAGATGTGGGAACTCTGCTCTCACATGCTGTGGAGGTTTGTGTTCCATTTCTGTGACATTGAGCAGCTCGGTGACACAGTGACACTTTCCCTCCTGCCTGCAGGTGACATTCCACGTTTAGCAGCCTGCCTGACTGATGGCAGGTGTTTTCTCTGTGAACAGGTCATCCTCTGGGACTGCACAGCTCCAGCAGCAAGTGGGATGCAGGGAATCCTGCCAGCAACCTGTCCACGGTGGCGATCATGCCGGTGTCCGAGGAGGTGCCGCTGACAGCCTTCACCCTGGAGCTCAAGCACGCCCTCAGTGCTGTGGGTGAGTGTTCCCAGGTGGCATCACAGCAAACAAACCCTGCTGGCCACTTCAGAGTGCCATGGGGGTCACAGTGGCAGAAGAAGCCAGTGGTGCATGAGCTCTTTACCCTTCTGAAGTCTGTATTTATGTGCAATTTATGGTGGTGGCTTGTGACAGTGAGAACTGCTGGCACCTGTCACAGGGGGGTCCATGCTGTGTTAGGGGGTAGCAGGACCTGGGGAGGGTCACAGGGCTGGGAAGGAGGTTCTGGAAAGAATCCTGTGGCCTTATAAAAAGGAGGGAGAGGGAATTTTTATATGGCCAGGTCCCCACAGGATGGTGGGGAATGGTAATAAACTTGGGGCAGGATTAGGTCAGATTAGGGAGAAATTCTTGTGAGGGTGGAGAGGCCCTGGCACAGGTTGCCCAGAGAAGCTGGGACTGCCCCTGGATCCCTGGAAGTGTCCAAGGCCAGGCTGTAACAACCTGGGACAGTGGAAGGTGTCCTTAAAGGTAATCTTTAAAGTAATTTCCAACCCAAACCATTCTGTGATTCTGCAGCAGTGGTTAGGATCAGCCTTTTCCATGCTTCTTGCTTCTCTATTCCCATCCTTATTATGCATTTAATTATAGTGGAAAACTTTTTTGTCTCAATGACTTGGAAATACTCACCAGCCTCTCTGCCCTTGTCTTGGCTGCCCTCAGCTGCCCACAGTCACTCCAGGAGACACATCCCACACCAGGGCACTGTTCCCATGGCACCTGAGGGTCTGGTTCTGTCCAGCTCGTGGGTGAGAGTGTTCCCGGCCTCCTCATCTGAAAAGCTTCATCCAGCAAAGGGTTTTTTAGCAGTTTTCTTGCATTGTGGTTGTACATGAGTGGTAAGGATAAGACTTGGTGGAAGAGGCTCGCGGGGGAGATCCAGACTGGCACTGGAAATCTGAAGCTTAGTCTGAAATCATTGTCCCATTTGTTGCCAGCTTGTTTGTCTGTCTCATGCCCACAAAACCATGTGTTCAGCTCATGGCTGAGTCATTAATTGCTTTATCCATGGGTGAAGTTGCTTATGCACGTTCCAGTTCCTCACAAAACCCATGCATTTAATTCAGAATTCATTTTGTGTTCATTAGTGGTGTTTGACATTTCCTGAACATCCTCTTTTCATCCTCAAATGCTGTTATATATCTCTTGAGTGAATCTCCTGTAGTCCTTTGAGAAATTATTAGTCTGCTCTCTCATGGCTTATTTAAAAGTACAGGTTATGTGGTGCTTGAGGTGGAACCACTTACATTTATTGGTAATTTTCTTTCTGACTTTTAGTGTCTGGAGCTGACACTCCTGTTTGTGCTTAAAAATCTTCTGGGTGAACAGGCAGAGGAAGAAGCCAGTGGTGCATGAGCTCTTTAACCTTCTGAAGTCTGAATTTATGTGCAACTTAGGGTGGAGACTTGTTACAGTGAGAACTAATTTGTGGGTGTTTGAAGATTCCTCTTATTTTGGAGATGGCAGAAAAATGTTAAATCCATAATGGAGCTGTATTGCTAATGGGGACTCCTTAGGGATCATTGCCAGCTTGTTTTGATGTGTGACAACACTAAGAGCCTGTAAATAAAACAAACAGAAACTTAAGTAGGTAGATGGACTGTTCAGAATAAAAACACCCATTTGGGCTGAAAGCAGCGGGCAGGTGCCCAAGGGGGATTTGGGGGGGGTCACTCGGCCTTTCCTCCCTCACCCTTTTCAGTTCCTCCCCTTGCTGACGCCTGTGCCGTGCTTGGCAGCTCGAGATGGTTCTGTGCACCCTTGGCACCTGAAGTTGTTGCCAAAAGGGAGCAGACGGCTGCAGTGGGAAGAGGAAAGTGTTGTGGGCAAACACAGGAGCCATCTGGTCCCAAACACCGCTGGCACAGGAGCCCGGGCCCGCACCAGGCCCTGCACCAGGCCCCGCACAGGCCCCGCACCAGGCCCGCAGCCCCCGCAGCCCCCTCAGGCACTGCAGAACCTCTGCAGCCTGGCCTGGGCTGAGGGCACCTGCAGGTTTTCTTTCTTTATTTAGCAGAAGCAATGCTTTCTTTTTTCTTCCTTTTTTTTTTTAACTTCTATTTCCATGTATGTATTAACTGTGTATTTCCTCCTCTGCCCTCTGGCTGGGGTTGTTTGGGTGTTCCTCACAAAGTGCTGGGAGCCACGTGCAGGTGCTGCTTGGCTTTCAGAGAAGGGGATTGGTTTTGGAATAATTTTTTTTTCTTCTGACTTCTTGCAACAGAAAATTAACTGAGTAGTGGAGTGAATTTTTGATTTGTTTTCAGGTTGTTTTTTTATTCACCTGCACATTTGGCATGAGGGGAGCTGTTGCCCAGAGCAGCTGGGGCTGCCCCTGGATCCCTGGCAGTGCCCAAGGCCAGGCTGGACAGGGCTGGGAGCAGCCTGGGACAGTGGGAGGTGTCCCTGCCCATGGAAAGGATGGAATGAGATGAGTTTTAAGGTCCTTTCCAGCCCAAACCATTCCATGAATCCATGTGGAAAGGTTTGCACTGGGGCCTTGCTGAGCAGCTGCTGCCACCTGAGCCCTTCCCTGAGCCCTTCCCTGAGCTCCCAGCTGGGCTCACCTGGGGATTGGGTGTGAGCTGGGATCAGACCTGCCCTGGCTTTATGGAAATGAGAGCTGTTAATGTGCTTGACAAAGGTTAATTGAAAATCTTCTCTGAAAGGAACTCTGAGTTTGGAAAATTGCTTTGAACATTTGCTGCTATTCATGTTTTTTTGGGGTTTTTTTCCTTTTTTTTTTTTTTTTTCCTTGAACCAACCTTTTTTCTAATTGTAATTTAAATGGCAGCATCTGATTACAATACTTGACTTAACATTTAATCCATACTTAACATTTGATCTGTATAATTTCATTGCTCTGGGCTTCAAATCTGTTCCAGAGCAGTGGAGAGCAGCCTTAATATGTGGGGAGAACAGCTGGTTTTAGCTTTCTTTTGCAACTTAATATATTTATTACAGAAAATTCCTTCCCCTTCCTGTTAATATGAATTTAACAGGATATTGCAGTGATGCCTTGAATTCCCCTGATGCAGGTTGGAGAGGAGGATAGAAGGAATGAGGAGGATGCAGGGAGGAACACTGAGACCATTGCAAGAATCATCAGCTGCTGCAGCTCTGGGAAGGAGCCTGGCCTCGGGATGCAGGCTGGCCCCAGTCCTGCTGGGAATGCAGGCTGGGTTGTAACACAGTATAACACTTAAAAATGGTTTTCCTTTTCCTGGAATTGGCATGAGAAGGCTGTGGGCAGTGCTTGGAGTTGGAGCTGGTTGCAGGTGAATCTATTCAACAGGATTCTGGAGTTTGTCTTGATAATTTTTAGCTACTTCTGTATTACTAAAGGGATATAAAAGTAATAACAACTAGAAAATCTCAGTTTGATAGTGAGTATTTACTCTCCACAAAAACTGAAAAAGTACTCAGAATCTTTCTTCCCCCAGAAAAAAAATTCCATTTTTCCTGTAATGAGACAGGACTAAGTGGTTTCATTGGTTAATTCTTTTTTGTGGGTTTAATTGAATTTTTTTTCAAATTTTTTTTTTAATGTTTTAATTTGTAATGGGAGCAGCTCAGGTGAGCAGCCTGCTCTTCCATCAGGGGTTCATTCTGCACCCAGGGAGCACCAGCGTGTGGGGCCACCTACAGCTTTCCCCAGGCCATTTGTGCTGGTTCCTTTGACATTTGGTGTTTTGTGATTTATGATAATTCACATATTGTTTCCAGACAGTAGGATTGTGTCCCAATTAAATGCTAAGGGATGTTTGTGCTTCCATGGAGCTTCCAATCACAGAATGGTCCAGGTTGGAAAGGGACCATAAAACTCATCCAGTGCCACCCCAGCCATGGCAGGGACACCTCCCACTGTCCCAGGCTGCTCCCAGCCTTGTCCAGCCTGGCCTTGGGCACTGCCAGGGATCCAGGGGCAGCCCCAGCTGCTCTGGGCACCCTGTGCCAGGGCCTGCCCACCCTCACAGGGAACAATTCCCAATTCCCAATATTCCATCCATCCCTGCCCTCTGGCACTGGGAGCCATTCCTTATTGTCCTGGCACTCCAGGCCCTTGGACAGTCTCTCTCCATCTTTCCTGTACCTTCAGGCTCTGCAAGGCCACACTGAGGTCACTCCAAAGCTTCTCCAGGTGAACAATCCCAGCTGTCCCAGCCTCTCCTCCCAGCAGAGCTGCTCCATCCCCTGATCCCCCTGGTGCCTCCTCTGGATCTCTGCAGCAGCTCCAGCTCCTGCCTGTGCTGGGCCAGGGCTGGGGCAGCTCTGCTGCTGGCACAAGCTGTGGGATGAAAGGTTCATTTGGGACCTGGCAGCAGCAGCTGGACCTGCCTTCACCTTGAGAGAGATAGAATGAAAAATGCTCTGGGTTCTGTGGGCAGAGCAGAAGGTCCTGCAGGGACAGAGACCCCAAAGTCCTGCAGGGCACAGTGACCCCAAAGTCCTGCAGGGCACAGAGACCCCGAGGTCCTGCTGGGCACAGTGAACCTCAGGTCCTGCAGGGCACAGTGAACCCCAGGTCCTGCTGGGCACAGAGACCCCAAAGTCTTGCAGGGCACAGAGACCCCAAAGTCCTGCTGGACACAGTGAACCCCAGGTCCTGCTGGGCACAGAGACCCCCAGGTCCTGCAGGGACAGAGACCCCCAGGTCCTGCAGGGCACAGAGACCCCAAAGTCCTGCAGGGCACAGTGACCCCAAAGTCCTGCAGGGCACAGTGACCCCCAGGTCCTGCTGGGCACAGTGACCCCCAGGTCCTGCAGGGCAGAGTGACTCCAAGGTCCTGCAGGGCACAGAGACCCCAAGGTCTTGCAGGGCACAGTGACCCCAAAGTCCTGCAGGGCACAGTGACCCCAAAGTCCTGCAGGGCACAGAGACCCCCAGGGCTGCAGCCCTGCTGTCCCCTGGCTCCAGTGTGACAGTCCTTTCTCAGCATCTGGGGCTCTGGGTCTCCAAGAAAGGAGGCTGTGCAATA